ACCCCCCTGGCCCACCCCCTGGCCCACCCCTTGGCCGACCCCCTGGCCCACCCCTGGCCCACCACCCCCTGGCCCACCCCCTGGCCCACCCCCCTGGTTCACCCCCTGGCCCACCACCCCTCTGACCCACCATCCCCTGGCCCACCCCCTGGCCCACCCCCCTGGTTCACCCCCTGGCCCACCCCCCTGGCCCACCCCCTGGCCCACCCCCGGCACAACTGAACTTGAACACAAGATATAAATACAGAACGTGATCCAGCCCGTCCTCCATAAGGTGCCCCAACGTCAAGAAACCGTCGTACTAAAGTGCCCTTATCCTAACCTGCCAGAGGACCCACAACAGAAAACGGGACAGTACGTCACTTTCGCCAGCCGCTTCCATTTTCCAGTACGATGATTTTTGGCCTTATGTAGAGTATACGTCAAAATGCGACGTTGTATTAGCAGGACAAGTTACCGGAATAGCTGTCAATACTTAAGAAGAGGTACCTTACCTTGAGATGGTTTCGGGGCTTAGCGTCCCCGCGGCCCGGTCCTCGACCAGGCCTCCTCGAGTAACCCTAGATGACCAGCTATTGGAGCAGACAACTATGCACTGAGGGCAGTGCAGGCCCTCAGCATACATCTATACACCGATCTGTAATGAGCTACTTAGAATGGGCGAATTCTAAGTTCAGTAGAACTTCGGTTTCAACCCTTTTAACCCTGTCGTAGCTCAGTCGATTAAGGCAGTGTCTGGGATGCTCCCGGACGCAGGTTCGAATCCTCGTCACGGCCCTTGTGGGTTTGTTCCTTAAAGCCTTATTTTGTTGCCCAAGACGAACAAGAACCATTAACATGAGACAAGAACTGAACCTTACCCTTATACTGGAGGGAACCATACAAGTCCATATGACTTTATTATTAAAGTCTTAAGACAGCTGACCATTATTTTATTCATTATTGTATTCGCTGTATTAAACAGCGATCGGTGTTGACACACTATCTCCCTCCTGTATGATCTGTGCTGATAAACGATCATACAGTGTGATGTAGGATCATACGCCTGTATAATCAGTGCTGATACACTATCTTACAGTGTGATATAGGATCATACTCCTGTATGATCAGAGCTGATACACTATCATACAGCGCGATATATCATCATACTTCTGTATGATCAGAGCTGATACACTATCATACAGCGCGATATATCATCATACTTCTGTATGATCAGAGTTGATACACTATCATACAGCGCGATATATCATCATACTTCTGTATGATCAGAGCTGATACACTATCATACAGCGCGATATATCATACAGCGCGATATATCATCATACAGCGCGATATATCATCATACAGCGTGATATATCATCATACACCAGTATGATCGATAGAGAAGCAAAGACGTCAACAACCTCATTAAAGTGAATGCCCCATTTAAACCTGATATCCTGTTACTGATATCCCAATTGGTCTGAAGACTATCATCAAACCATCTTATTCGCTCGTTACTAAGCACCAATTTCCAACGCAAAGCTTAGGGTCTAGTTAGCATTATGTTGACGCTGATGGCTCAGTCAACAGGACGCACAGCTGGACGCACAGCTGGACGCACAGCAAGACGCACAGCAGGACGCAGCAGCAGTAGTCTGTAGGTGTTATAGAAATAATTATTTGCACGCAGATTATGACCGTTGGGCTAAATGAATGGCTGAACTAGCTGTTCGTGCAGCTGTAGTGCAGCTGTAGTGCAGCTGTAGTGCAGCTGTAGTGCAGCTGTAGTCCAGCTGTAGTGCAGCTGTAGTGCAGCTGTAGTGCAGTTGTAGTGCAGCTGTAGTGCAGCTGTAGTGCAGCTGTAGTCCATCTGTAGTGCAGCTGTAGTGCAGCTGTAGTGCAGCTGTAGTGCAGCTGTAGTGCAGCTGTAGTGCAGCTGTAGTGCAGCTGTAATGCAGCTGTAGTGCAGCTAGTTGTCCTACAACCAGCTAGCACGACATTTAAAAATATATGAGGGAGAATAATTTGCATATTCTTGAGAATCTGCTCTTAAAGCAATTGAAGATTCATCTTGCAAGATTGACATAATATCAAATATAATTAAATAACATCCTCGCTGCACAGAATGTAGGGTTAAGAGGGGGTCTGACAGCTGAGTGGACAGCACTCGGAATTCGTAGTCCTAAGGTTCCGGGATCGATCCCCGTTGGAGGCGGAAACAAATGGGCAGATTTTCTTTCACTCTGATGCCCCCTTGTTCACCTAGCAGTAAATAGGTACCTATGAGTTAGACAGCTGCTACGGGCTGCTTCCTGGGAGGGGGGGGGGGTAACAGAAAGGAGGCCTGGTCGAGGACCGGGCCGCGGGGACGCTAAGAAATCATCTCAAGATAACCTCAAGATAACCTCCAAAAATGCAGGTCTGATAAGAGAAATCACAGACCCTCAAAGGTCTAAAAACACTTGTATAAAATGTTGTGATTTCTGTAGGTCTGAAACCTATTGATATGGGCCCCGTTACCACCTGCCCGTTACCTGTGGCAGGTGGCTACAGGTGATTTTTATTATTGTTGCCTACGGAGGTGGCTAGTTTATTGTGCACCCCATACTCATCCTGTGAGCGGTAGCGCAAAAAGCATTACAGAGGGCATAAAAGGTCTTTATCAGACCTCAACTTAGATTATTACATAAACAATTTCATCTATCCTTCACACCTTATAGTTACAATGTCAGCTAGTTACAGAGAAAGTGCTATTACAAGAGCTATATATTTACAATAAGTCATTATACATTAATGGTAAGTTTTATCGCTAATACATAATTGTTTGAGCAATGGAGATATCATATAGTCGGCTCAATTTTACTACAATCCAAGATATAGTATTCGAGTGTGTGTGTCCCTGTCATTGTCCACACACTTTACACTTTACTTCATCTAGATCCCTATACAAGCCGAACTGCCAGAGATATTTGTAGCCAAGTCTTATACGAGCTGTGACAACATCTGTTAGTCTACTGACTTTGTTACTTGCCCCATACACATGTTTTACTTCACACATTTCATTGTGATAAACAATGGACCTCCTAGTTCCAGTTTGCACTGTTCTACTTTCTTCAAATCCATCCAAGAGTTCTCGTCTAATGACACTTTTAAGGGACCTATTTGATAACTCAAGATTCCGTTCAATACTGTCTTTATTTACTGCAGCCTTAGCAAGGGCGTCAACTTTGTCATGTTCCTGCAGGCCAATGTGAGAAGGAATCCACAACATTTTTATATTTACCCTCTTGCTAAGTATTCTTATATATCTACGTCTAGCTTCCAAGACAAGCACGTTATTACTTGATTGCAAACTGTTTATTGCTCGTAGTGAGGATAGGGAGTCAGAAATAATTAAGCTGTCTACTTCAGTGTTGTCAATAATTTCTAGTGCTACCAGTATCGCTACCAACTCGGCCTGCATTGTGGACGCCCAGTTACTAATTCTTATATTCCTTTGAATTGTGCTGTCATCGGGTTGATGAGCAATAACAGCTACAGATGACGGATCTCCCAATCCTGAGCACTCCAGGTGCAAACTCTGTGAGCAGGAACTGCGGCATGATCTCCCACACTACATCACTGAATGCCCAGTTATTACACCATTCAGACCAGTTGGCATGAGGTACCTGGAGCTCTGTGATTACTTTATTACCTCTCGTGTTCTTGATGATATCCTCATAATGCTCCCAGAGTCTGCCAGTGTAGACTACTGATCACATGGCCCTGTATGACTAACTACCCTGTGTGATGCGGATTGTAGTAACGATGTAACCCTTCATACAGCCAAAGCCAGCTGTATCAATGTGTATGTTCCTAAGTGGTATGCCCACTTAGGGCAGTGGTATGCCTACTTAGGGCAGTGGTATACCCACTTAGGGCAGTGGTATGCCCACTTAGGAATATACACATTGTTGGCTGGTCTTGGGTTATCTTGAGATGATTTCGGGGCTTTAGTGTCCCCGCGGTCCGGTCCTCGACCAGGCCTCCACCCCCAGGAAGCAGCCCGTGACAGCTGACTAACACCCAGGTACCTATTTTACTGCTAGGTAACAGGGGCATACGGTGAAAGAAACTCTGCCCACTGTTTCTCGCCGGCGCCTGGGATCGAACCCAGGACCAAAGGATCACAAGTCCAGCGTGCTGTCCGCTCGGCCGACCGGCTCCCATGAGTTAGTTGATTAACCCCCCAACACATATCACAGCCTCATGACACTAAGTTAATCAAATTTAGTACCTCGCTTTTTCCTCATTGTTCCCCAAACAATTAAATTTCTGGAACAATATTTTTGTGGTTTCAAAAACCCCAAATTGTTATATTAAACACAGAAACTTAACCACCACTGTTAGTGTTGATCAATAGTCACAGTTATTGTATGCAGGCGATGAGTCACAATAACGTGGCTGAAGTATGTTGACCAGACCACACACTAGAAATTGAAGGGACGACGACGTTTCGGTCCGTCCTGGACCATTCTCAAGTCGATTGTGAATGGTCGACTTGATCGACTTGAGAATGGTCCAGGACGGACCGAAACGTCGTCGTCCCTTCAATTTCTAGTGTGTGGTCTGGTCAACAGTTATTGTAATCTACACTGTTAATTTTTCCTGATTGATTGATTGATAAAGATTAAGCCACCCAAAAGATGGCACGGGCATGAATAGCCCGTAAGTGGTGGCCCTTTTGAGCCATTACCAGTATCAAGAGCTGATACTGGAGATCTGTGGAGGTGCGACTGCACCCTGCGTGACGGGAGATGTCTCCCGTGAATTTTTCCTCTCACTGAGACACGTATGTAAGTAGTGGCTACACGTCTTCACAACTTACGGGCTATTCATGCCCGTGCCACCTCTTGGGTGGCTTAATCTTTATCAATCAATCAATCGTCTTCACAATGTACTCTCCATATGTGCGAGCCTCACACATCACTCACACTGTACCGACACTCAGGGAAAAATCCCCATTTTCCCATGAGTTCCTACTCCAAATCATTCCCTAAATAATTTGAAGTACCCTGTGTTACGACGCTGGCACCTACAGAGGTGGCGAGAGCAATCTTGTTGGCACCTACAGAGGTGGCAAGAGCAATCTTGTTGGCACCTACAGAGGTGGCAAGAGCAATCTTGTTGGCTCCTACAGAGGTGGCAAGTGCAATCTTGTTGGCACCTATAGAGGTGGCAAGAGCAATCTTGTTGGCTCCTACAGAGGTGGCAAGTGCAATCTTGTTGGCACCTACAGAGGTGGCAAGTGCAATCTTGTTGGCACCTACAGAGGTGGCAAGTGCAATCTTGTTGGCACCTACAGAGGTGGCAAGTGCAATCTTGTTGGCACCTACAGAGGTGGCAAGAGCAATCTTGTTGGCTCCTACAGAGGTGGCAAGAGCAATCTTGTTGGCACCTACAGAGGTGGCAAGAGCAATCTTGTTGGCACCTACAGAGGTGGCAAGTGCAATCTTGTTGGCACCTACAGAGGTGGCAAGAGCAATCTTGTTGGCACCTACAGAGGTGGCAAGAGCAATCTTGTTGGCACCTACAGAGGTGGCAAGAGCAATCTTGTTGGCACCTACAGACGTGGCAAGTGCAATCTTGTTGGCACCTACAGAGGTGGCAAGTGCAATCTTGTTGGCACCTACAGAGGTGGCAAGTGCAATCTTGTTGGCACCTACAGAGGTGGCAAGAGCAATCTTGTTGGCTCCTACAGAGGTGGCAAGTGCAATCTTGTTGGCACCTACAGAGGTGGCAAGTGCAATCTTGTTGGCACCTACAGAGGTGGCAAGTGCAATCTTGTTGGCACCTACAGAGGTGGCAAGTGCAATCTTGTTGGCACCTACAGAGGTGGCAAGAGCAATCTTGTTGGCTCCTACAGAGGTGGCAAGAGCAATCTTGTTGGCACCTACAGAGGTGGCAAGAGCAATCTTGTTGGCACCTACAGAGGTGGCAAGTGCAATCTTGTTGGCACCTACAGAGGTGGCAAGAGCAATCTTGTTGGCACCTACAGAGGTGGCAAGAGCAATCTTGTTGGCACCTACAGAGGTGGCAAGAGCAATCTTGTTGGCACCTATCGAGGTGGCAAGAGAGATCTTGTAAGTGTAATAAGCATACATGATTATATGTAGAGTGGCGCATGTGGTGATGTACTGACAAGCTTACGAGGATATTATTCTTCTAGCATCCGTTGATCACTAATGAACGTCTCTCCTAATTGATTAATGAAGATTAAGCCACTAAAGAGGTGGCATGGGCATGAGTAACCCTTAAAGTCTCTCCTGGCTAAGTCTGGCCACGGGAGACATCTCCCGTCACGCAGGGTGCAGTTCCACCTCCACAGATCTCTAGTATCAGCTAATGATACTGGTAATGACTCAAAAGGGCCACTACTTACGGGCTATTCATGCCCGTGCCACCTTTTGGGCGGCTTAATCTTCATCAATCAATTTAAGTCTGGGTTTATATATGCATGCGTAGTGCCGACATTGTGGACACCTACATAGGGAGCCGGTCGGCCGAGTGGACAGGACGCTGGACTTGTGATCCTGTGGTCCTGGGTTCGTTCCCAGGCGCCGGCGAGAAACAATGGGCAGAGTTTCTTTCACCCTAGGCCCCTGTTACGTAGCAGTAAAATAGGTACCTGGGTGTTAGTCAGCTGTCACGGGCTGCTTCCTGGGGGTGGAGGCCTGGTCGAGGACCGGGCCGCGGGGACACTAAAGCCCTGAAATCATCTCAAGATAACCACCTCGATAATGGCCCGCCCTCCTAAGGCTTCCCAACGTCAAGAAATTGTCTTACTAAATTGTCCTCTCCTAACCTATCAGAGAACCCAAAACAGAACACGGGACAATATATTAATTTCGCGAGTCGCTATCATTTTCTAGCAAGGTTATTTCTGGCCTTAGGTATGTATTTCTGGCCAAATACGTCAAATTTGCGACGTTCTACTAGGAGGACGGGTTGGACCTGCCTGCGACATCACAGACTTCAGATGATTCTCAGCAATTAATAATGGAGCAGGATGCTATATTGTTGACAGTTAAGAGTTAATTGTACTAGTTTTATAGACACTTTCCTGGGGGATCGTTCCACGCTGATAACTCAATCTCACTTGACATAAGGTGCATGCAAGGTCTTCATCAGCAAACTGATTTTGATTGGTAGGTGAAATAAGGTGGTTCAGATGGTGCCCATCATAGAGTGTGTCATTACACTACTGTAATGGGAGGGTGAGGGAGCTACTACAAAGTGCCCACACCTGGACGTACCCCCTAAGTGCCACAACCTCTAAGGGGCATCCGGACTCTCACCAACACACTCCCAACATGGCACTCGCCTCGAGTGCCTTCTCAACGGAGCTAAGGAGAAGTCTGCTTCTCTTTTACTTACAAGTCAGACTATAATCTGCTGCCTTTACTCGGAGGTGGGGAAGTGCTGGGAGCACGGCGCCCCACTCTCAGGACTGGCGACTGCTTGACCACATAATTCAACAGATCACAGCCTCTCCTCCAATGACCTCCTCCACTCAACTTACTGGTGTCAGTTCCTCACTAATCTAGAATAAACTCTAGTAAATCATAGGCTAGACTATATAGTTTGTCAGCATCCTGTCATCGTACTTCAGGTCTCAAGACAGCGGTAAGAGAAGTTGTATCAAAATTCAATACGAATTTACCGAAATCAGTAATTATTTTTCTATCAATTATCTATCAAACATAAATATACAAGTAATCAATAAAATAATAATAAAATCGACTACTAATATAGTCGTCTTGAATCTTCAATTTCCAAAAGAATGATCAGCCTAGTCTCTAGCTATGCCACGAAATCTCTTCAGTTCTTAGACTATTCAAAGTTATCACAGTCTTCCTCTGTCTGCTATAATATTGTAGTGGACAGATAAAGACTATATTATATATCAGCAATATTAATGCAAGAAAATCACGTGCACAGAGTAATAGCATGGTCCCAAATGCAGGCGATGAGTCACAATAACGTGGCTGAAGTATGTTGACCAGACCACACTAGAAGTTGAAGGGACGACGACGTTTCGGTCCGTCCTGGACCATTCTCAAGTCGACTTGAGAATGGTCCAGGACGGACCGAAACGTCGTCGTCCCTTCAACTTCTAGTGTGTGGTCTGGTCAACATGGTGCCAAACACTGCCTCCCTGCACAATGTCCCTAACGGCATCTCAGGCTGCCCAACTGGGCTTCTGGGACTAACTCACTAGTCCCAGCTTCTGGGACTAACTCACTAGTCCCAATGTTTACCGTCATTGCTCACATAAGAGACACTAGGCTCCCTTACCTCTGGCCTGACTCTTAGAGTAAACCGCTGCGGTGTTTAGCTCCTGGTGTCTGCCTCACAGCTGATGGCTCACGAACAGTACCCCCCTCGAGGTGTTCGGGCTAACATGCACTTCGAACACTTCATCTTGACTCAAAGACACTCAGAGATGGTGCACGGCTTCCTCTGCCGACTCTTCCAAAGTTGTGTCACCTCGGTGCAGGAAGAGTCCCTCTCCAGCGCGTCCATGAGCTTGAAGCTCGTGGACGTCGCCTCTTCCAGGCGACTCAGACCACCGACAACGGACTATTCTCAGGATCGTCGTCTGTCGAAGCCTCCGACGAACGCCCTGGTCTTGAGACCAGCTCCTGCACACCGCTGGCTGTCATCACAACCCTTTCTTAGGTCGGTCCAACTGACACGGCAGCAAAGAGATGAAACAGAACAAACAGGGGGCTAACATCAGACGACAGATGATCCGGACTCCATGGTATCTCATGCATGAGTGAAGCATCTTGGCCTATTTTGACCTGCCTGAAAAGATGTTACAAGCCTGCAGGGGCGTACGGGGCTGAGTCCTACAAGTGGGGTCCCTCCTGGTCGTAATGGTAACCCGGTGTCTTGACTTTCTGGAATATTCTGGCGTGCCGTCCACTAGGCGGGAAAATGTCCTTGTTCCTTTGAGTGGTTTTCAGCATATAATGGCCTCATAACTCCCACAATCACACTCACACCGATTCTCGCACTTTCGTATAGTCAATATTGACTTATTAAATACGTGCATATGTGACATACTAAACATACTAGTTTACCTTGAAACTCTTCATAGAAAACACCGACCTTACCTAACCTTCTTAGTATGTTAAAATAAGCATCTTATTGCTTCGTAATTACAATTATTACTTAACCTATTATAGGTATAGGTTAAGTAATAATTGTAATTACGAAGCAATAAGATGCTTATCTTAACATACTAAGAAGGTTAGGTAAGGTCGGTGTTTTCTATGAAGAGTTTCAAGGTAAACTAGTATGTTTAGTATGTCACATATGCACGTATTTAATAAGTCAATATTGACTGTAAGAAAGTGCGAGAACGGGTTGCACACTCGCACCGACCCTACCTAATACCTCTGAGGTATTTCGCTTGTTACTCTACACCAGTAGGAGTTCTCTATCCTCACTTTGACACACTGACTCCTGTCTGTTAGGTACCCTCTAACCCATGTCAATGTGTGTATTTACTATTTGTATTTAATATTTGTATCTGCAGAATCGAGCTATTAGCTCTTGGACCCCGCCTTTCTAACCAATTAATTTTTCCTCTACTATGTCTACTACATTTATTTCTCTCTAACACACGCACACACACACATCCCCAGGAAGCAGCCCGTAGCAGCTGTCTAACTCCCAGGTACAAATTTACTGCTAGGTGAACAGGAACACCAGGAAGAAACGAACTATCAATTTGTTTCCGCCTCCGCCGGGGATCGAATCCGGACCCTTAGGACTACGAATCCCGAGCGCTGTCCACTCAGCCGTCAGGCAGGTGTGTGGGAGGGGGGATACCCGTCCCATACGCCCCATACCCCCATCACTGCCCCCCCCCCCCCCTCCGTCCCTCCACACCCCGCCTCTTATCACTTAGTGATCAGAGAGCACGTTGTCTGGAGGAGGAAATTATTAGGACAAGCAAATCTCACAGGGCATGGAGGGTCCGGCCCCTAGCCTTCCTGGCTGTCTTCTGCACACCTGCTGCTGCTGCTGCTGCTGGTGGTGGTGCTGCTGCTGGTGGCGTGGAGGGTCCGGCCCCTAGCCTTCCTGGCTGTCTTCTGCACACCTGCTGCTGCTGCTGCTGCTGCTGCTGCTGCTGCTGTGGTGGTGGTGCTGCTGCTGGTGGCGTGGAGGGTCCGGCCCCTAGCCTTCCTGGCTGTCTTCTGCACACCTGCTGCTGCTGCTGCTGCTGCTGCTGGTGGTGCTGCTGCTGGTGGCGTGGAGGGTCCGGCCCCTAGCCTTCCTGGCTGTCTTCTGCACACCTGCTGCTGCTGCTGCTGCTGGTGGTGGTGCTGCTGCTGCTACTGGTACTGGTGCTGCTGCTGGTGGTGGTGGTGTTGCTGCTGGTGGTGGTGGTGCTGCTGGTGGTGGTGGTGCTGCTGCTGCTGCTGCTGCTGCTGCTGGTGGTGGTGGTGCTGCTGCTGCTGCTGCTGCTGCTGCTGCTGGTGGTGGTGGTGCTGCTGCTGCTGGTGCTGCTGGTGGTGGTGGTGCTGCTGGTGGTGGTGGTGTTGCTGCTGGTGGTGGTGGTGCTGCTACTGCTGCTGGTGCTGCTGGTGGTGGTGGTGTTGCTGCTGGTGGTGGTGGTGCTGCTACTGCTGCTGGTGCTGCTGCTGCTGCTGCTGCTGCTGGTGGTGGTGGTGTTGCTGCTGGTGGTGGTGGTGCTGCTACTGCTGCTGGTGCTGCTGCTGCTGGTGCTGCTGCTGGTGGTGGTGCTGCTGCTGGTGGTGGTGGTGGTGGTGGTGGTGGTGCTGCTGCTGCTGCTGCTGCTGCTGCTGCTACTTCTACAGTTATTTCAGCAGCAGCAAAGCTGTCTTAATATCTTTAACGTTACTTCGACATGTGACCAGTCTCAATACTAACACATACGTCCACCCATCATTTGTTAAGTGTGCTAGTGCTTGACTCACTACCTAATATTCACTCCTAACTTGTGGATCACAACACCAGCAGTAGCGGAAGTAGCAGGAGCAGTAGCAGGAGCAGGAGCAGTAGCAGGAGCAGTAGCAGTAGCAGGAGCAGTAGCAGGAGCAGTAGCAGTAGCAGGAGCAGGAGCAGT